TGCGGACGCGTACTGATAAGGAGTCCCATACTAGGACGGAAAAGCCACTCAGTGCTTCCAGGTTTCCAGTGGTGATTTAGCTTAGATCAACTCATGAATCCAACTGTCAAAATTTATTAATAGACAAAGCCTTCATAGAACAGCTTAAACTAACATATACGAATTTGTAAGCAGTTAATGAATGGAATTTCTTTATTAATGTATCAAAATGAGTCTTATCGTTATCGAACTATTTCCATGGTATTGGACAAGTTAACCTATTACTTTTGTTATTCCTTACTTGATCACATAATTTGAATTAAAAAAACAGAACTTCAAATTTAAATCATCAAGAAATTTAGTAAACATGGAATTTGATCAATGGAAAAATGTACCAACATGTTTGAAATACTATTGCAAATATAAAAGTAACTATATATTTTTATATTCATTGTCAAAAAGTCGTAGGATTGTTTCCCATTTTCTATATTATTACTCTCATTTATTTATAACAATAATCTATCAGGATTGTATTTAGCGTTAAAATCCATAATGACAACGTATGGTATCATCCAAATGCTTACGATCACAAATATATCATTTTTAAACACACTTATTCTAGATTAGTCGGAAAGAATTCCAAGGCCTAAATGATCCGACAATTTATTACATACTTTAAGTGAATAGCGATAAATTTCAAAGTTTTAATAGATATGAGCTACTGAATGAACTGAACAGTGAAAAACACAATGGAAATTAAACGGAATAGAAACTTGATGTAATATAAAATAAGTTCGTTTATGATAATTCGATTAGAAATATCTTTTGAATGGGTAGTGAGGTGAAATGAGTAGAAAATTTTCTTCATAGTTATTCTTTAATCTATGTTTGTTTGGTCTCGGATAATTCCCGTTTGACAATGGAGATTTAGGTAGTTTACTTAGAAGACTGCTCCTCGAAGCTTTCACTGAAGGATCTAATCCACAACGCCACGAGATGCGACTCCATGGTGGTTGGTGACCAAAATAACAATCTAGTATCCACCAGCTCGGTTTAAGCTCAAAGCATCTGCTTTCCCTCTCTCAATGAGGACATCCTAGACAGTAACTATAAACTCGAGGTTATATAAGAGTTCCAAGAAAAAAGCGAACCCCGTCCACCTTAGTCATTTAGGTATTTGTATTCAAGTTGATGATATTGTAACCATCTATCCCTGGACTTGATACGTATTAGACTGTATTACTTGCTTGAGTTTCTATATGGATTCTGGTCATACCCCGGTGTGTCCGCAAAAACTTCACTGTTAAAATTCAAATGACTTCTGTAAGACTAGCATGGGTCTCAGCTAACACCCACTCCTCATGGTGAACTACTGGAAATGGTCAGAAAATTCGTATATCTGGGGAGTTTTGTTAATGATATGAGTGGTGTATCATATGACATCAATATATGTGTAAAAAAACGCTAGAGCGGCTTATGTCAATTTGGATCATCTTTAGGACATTTATAATACTGGTTATACAACTCCATATTTTATCAGATACGGCTTGGAATCCAAACCACCAGTAATCCTGTTTATATTCATCACATTTTTCATAAAAGTGGGATAAAATACTTTCACTAAAGGAATGTTTACTTGGTTGTATTTTTAAGTAAACTCTTAAAGTAATTAATATAGAAATTTTATTTTAATAAAATATTTTTTTAAAAATTACACTTCAAATTTGGTTTTTCTAAATTACACTGGTTGAAGATGAACAATTGAAGGTCAAAACATTGTTCCATTCTGACCTGAAACTTATAATCTTTGGTCATCTTCATTTTTAGCTTCAATGATCTTGGCTAAAGTGTACTTTTTACAAAATCAAAAATGTAAACGATATAATTGTTCGTTATTTTTGTATATCAAATGATTTGTTCACTGATAACAACTTTCAATATTAATTATTATCAAAGTAATCTAATGTATAAAGCCATTTCCTGATTACAAAAAAATTACCCATGCTGCTTTAATTTGATGTTGACAGGCTACTGGTTAAAAAAAACAACTTAGAATGCATCTTTTACTTAAGTTTCTACATATGTTGCCTCATCATTACTTTTTCCCAAATTATTTCTCGGATATCTAATTGAAGTTTCGGATTAACAGCTCAATGTTTCTTGATTTATTCAAGTAAAGTATAATGGCTGTAAAGCTCGTAAAACAAGTAATATTATGTTACTGTTTACTTAATGTTGTAAATGTTGATAATTAAGATTGGATTCATTAGTTTAAAAACTAGTATATTCACGATGATGTTTGAGAATACTCTAAAAACTTGGAGCTATATGGTTCAATGTATGGATGTTTTAGTGTTATTACTTACTTACTTACGCCTGTTACTCCCAATTGAAAATAGGCTGCCGACCAGCTCTATCCAATCCATTCCTTTCTAGTTCTATCCAATTGTTGTTCATTCTTCTCATGACTGGTGGCCACATTGCATTATGATCGATAGCATTCGATCTGCACTAATAAGGACTAGACAAGCGTGACATTGATCACCACCCAGTGATCAACCAATTGTGGTTCTCATGTCTGTCTCCATTTCTCGGCGTAATGTGTTCTTTTGCGTTGAGGATTTCAAGTGAGTGCTTGCAGTTGTGTACTTTCTTCACTGTGTGTCCTATCCACTTCCAGCTCTTCTTCCTGATATCTTCCTCCGCTGAAATGTGATTTGTTCCCTCCCACAGTAGGTTGTCGCTGATAGTGTCTGGTCAACGGATTCGAAGTATTTTGCGTAGACAACTGTTAATAAACACTGTTGATCCCAACCCCGGATAAAGGAGGATGATCGAGCATGGGATTAGTGACCCCATCCTGTAGAAATCTAACTCGGTAAAAAACACTAACCAGAAAATAATTCAATTGAGCGATATTGTTTACTGGAAAAAAAAGAATTGTTTCTAAATTCAACATGTTTATTACCAATACTTATGTAATGATGCCTTTTGTTTATTTCGTAAACTTGGTTTCTGTTCATTTATTTTATAAGCGCAAAAATAACCAATTGATTAACTAGACAAAATAACTTTTTTATTATAATCAAAATTTTATACTATTCTAGACTATCGTCTGTAACTTGTAAATTAAATATTATGTCATATTTACATGTATCATGATAGAATAAATATTGTTTATTGTTAGCTACGGGGTAATCAGATATTTTATACAGGCTGATCAAAATAAAATGATATATATATGTATATATATATTTGTCATTCCAATAAATGAAGAAAATGTTGTTTAATTGTGCATATTTAATTACAGTAAATATCAGATTTGGATCTTGATCATAATTTGTTGTTGTTGTTGTTGAGATGGGTTTAGTGAAAAGTACAAGTAATTCCATTGTTGATATTTCACTGACTAATAATAATCTGAAATGGAAGTTACAGGAAGTGTATGTCAGTATTTAATTTAATACACAACATGCCGGTATATATATATATATATATAAAATCTCGAACATTAATATAAACCAATTTGATAATGAAAACTAGATAAACATGAGTTCGTTTTCAATCATGTTATAATTACTACTCGTTATTATCATAGATGAAAGTTATTTACATGTGTATCTTTTAATGATAAATAACTTGTGCACATATATCATTTTTGTATAGCTTGTCTTTTCTTTTAACAATAAAGTCGATTAGTATGTTCATAAACTTGAAGCTTTATATGTTTCCTGATGTGTGGGTTTTAAACAGATCATTCATTCTTTAGTCTACATCGCCTGGTGACAAAATAATTTTGTATTTCTAGTTAAAATATAATTTTCTGATATCCAGTTACAGCAAACAATAAACAGGAATTAAACTAATCCCAGTAAGAACATATCTATAGATCGAATAATGCCAACCAAGCTCAGTATCCAAGTAAAGTCACCACATTAAAAAATCTAACTATTTCTCGTATACCACTGAAGACAACTATGAATGTTTTGACATACTCAGTGACTGTAATGAGCATTCATTAAAAAATAATACAGTATATATAACAAAATAATTTTCTGAAGTTTCAATTGATTTGATAAAATACTAGATTCCTTAAATCGATAAAAGTGATAACTTTTTCATGAAACCTATTTCCAACTAGACAAAACTGCATGAAACACAGCCACTACCCAATTAAGTAAATATATTAGAAAATCAAAATCGTCGTTTGTAAACCAAACATTTAACCAATTTAGCATATTAATGACATTAGGTTAATAAATAGTAAAAGATTAACATGACGAATTAATTAATGCCTTGTGATATGTTTACACCATGTTAGAAAATCTTATTTACTAGAAATTCGCTTTAATTCTAACAAACGAATTGCTAATAGATTTTCAAGGAAAATTAAACGCCAATTAAGTACTTTTTTAAGCACAGATGGATAGCAACTAGCATTGGAATCTAGAACGCACGTTCCGTCCTATTTAGGAATCGTCATCTGCGTGTACCATCATCCTTGAGTTGATGTGCACCCTGGGCCTCGAACTCAGTACCGTTCGTTTTAAACGCCATCGCGTTATCCACTTAGCTACTGAAACCTGTTAGACACCTGCTTGTGCAATGGGGTGAAGTTAAATTCACTTGGTATTGTTGTTTTTTATCTTCCCATTGTGATTTAGGACTACAATTGATCAGTCTCATCTTTGCTTAAAAAGCTTGTGACTTAAGGCTATATCGAGGCAATCCTCACAGGATGCACATATGCCAACGTGAGACTGATCAATTACAGTCCTAAATAACAATGGGAAGTTACAAGTAAAACATCGCCAAGTGAAGTCAATTAAGTATTGTTGAAAAAAAATTTGAAAAGCGAGAAATGCCCTTGTATGTTACCTTTTTTGTTTCTTAACGAATACTCGAATGGTGGTTTTGTGAATAAGGTCGAGTTTCTCCTGTGAATTGAAATGTTTATATATATGTATATATAACTGTAACTTTTTCAACTGTTTTTTTTCTGTGTTTTTTTCTTAAACTAGAATTTGCTATATCGATACGGGTACATGGATGACTATTCCAAAACTCATAATAATAATCATAATAATGGTAACCCTATACCACCAGATCAAAATCCATATGAATCTAAATTTCTTTATCCAGATAAATTATCATTAACTAATCCACCGAAAGAATTTAATAATGCAATTAGAAAATTTCAAAGACACTATAATCTACCTATTACAGGTAAATTAGATGAAGCTACAAAAAATCTATTAATTTCACCACGTTGTGGCAATCCAGATCAACAAATTAATTTGAAACAATCATCAAGATTATTATCCAAATTAAAATTTGGCAGTACATTCCATTTTAATCATAATTATTCATTAACTGTACAAAATGCTAAAAATAATAATAATAATAATAATCACAATGAAAGAAGATTATTAAAAAGACAAAAACGTTATTTAATTGGTGATGAAAAAATGAAATGGACAAAGAAACAATTAACTTGGCAGTGTGTGAAATGTGTTTTTAGTTGTGTTTTTTTGTTTTTAATAAGGGTATAATTTTCTTTCCCCTCAATTATTTTCGCTTTAATCAAGTTTAACTTACAAATTTATATATATCTTAGACATAAGTCTAAATAATTGGTGAACTAAAGTTAAAATGAAAACCATATATACATAACAGGACATAAGTAGTAGTTAGATTTAAGCTCGAAATTTGTAGATAAATGACTTGTTGCAACTTATGCTATAAACCAGTTTAGTTAATTTGAATTGTAAACAGATTTCATTTCCAATTTATTCATGATAATCTTCTTTTATAGTTATTACTTTTCTCACTGAAATGACAAACTGTTCTAACTTAGATAACTTTTGAAAACTTAGGTCAGTTCGCGATCTCAGTGACACTCAATAATCTCCATAAATGCCCCAGACCGACGTTACCAATCTATTCATAATATAACATATGTTTTTGTTTTATTCATTATTTACATTTAAATGAAGATTTTTTGTTAAAAAGCTCATTTATCTGCGGAACGATATGATATGATAATTTTTATACTGTTTATAAATAACTTCCAGCTCTAAACTATTTCCACTCTATTGCAGAACGTATTTACAGAAAACGAAGCTACCATTGACTAATATTATTGCCAGAAGCGGTTTTGTGGAGATTTTTAGAAATTTCACAGGTTGAAATCATGAGTCAACTGAAGCTAGACCACCATGGAAAACCTGAAAGCACTGAACGGCCGTTTCGTCCTAGTACGGGACTCCCCAGCAGCGCGCATCCACGATCCCGCACCCCGTGAGATTCGAACCCAGACCTACTGGTTTCGCGCCAGGCGCCTAACCAACTAGACCACTGAGCCAGCATCCAACGGTGTTAATGTCTAACTTCAACCAATCCACGAAGTTGAACCACCGCACACCATTGTCTTCAGTGAGTTTATATCTCACAACAGACCTGTCTGAACTCCACTGGTAACGGCTTCTCACTAGAACTCCAGGAGTATCTTTTGAAGTCAGTCACTAGTGAGCAGATGATTATTTTCAGAAAGGGTTTTGTGGAGATTTTTAGAAATTTCACTGGTTGAAATCATAAGTCAATTGAAGCTAGACCACTATGGAAAACCTGGGAGCACTGGACGGCCGTTTCATTATTCTAACATATTATGATGTAAAGCACATTTAAATCTTCTTAATTTTACAACACATTTCGAAAGAGAAGAATTTATATTACTAAATAGTATTCGTAACATATTTATTAGTATATACTACTAAAAAATATTTTCTTCCATTTTTTCGACGTAAGACAAACATGTTGAAATAAATATAACCCATATGATTATTAGTAACCTAAATTGAATATATATCAGTTTTATTTGACTGTTTTAAACGTTCGGTGTGAAGTTTCTTAGTTAAAAACAAAACAACCAAACTGAATATTACTAGCGTCAGATTTTCATACAGGATGTAGTTTTAATTATTACAAGTAAAAACAATGATTTTGTATGTTCATAACAACACCACAACGTGGATTTTATTCTGTAAATAATAATTTGGCACATAAATGTTTTAAATGTCTTAAAATTTACCAGAACTAAATATATAATCACAACTGAAATCGATTTTGAACCTTAAATTATTTCTAATTTTGTACCGATCCAAAGGTCAAACATAATTATGATGAAAAAGTGATGGAATATTATAGATTATTTTGTACACGTAATCAAAATGAAGTCGTGGGCACCTAATTTTTGTAGTGATTGGCACTAGTCAAAAAATGTATCTGTGGTCTTTTAAGAAAAATAATGCTTCTCATGGTATTCTAATCTGTTTTATGAGGTGTCTCATATCCAGAGAAGTCACTACTGAACTAATCCAGTAACTGGGTGACACGGGATCAAAACCACCGGGTACATCTCTCTGACTAGTCCCAAATAGCATGAAACTGAGGTCCAGGGTTTTCTGTCGACTACCTTCAAACTTCACCTTACTTCTCAACATAGTTCATGCAGTGTCGAGTCACTTAGACTAGTGGTCACATTGCAACTTGGTCGACAGAATTCGATCTTTACTAAGAAAGACCTGACAAACGTGATATTGGTCACCACTCAGTGACTAATCATTTGTAAAAATCCAATATTCATTGCTAGTAGTTACTTGTATTTCCTAATTCTTAGTCATATTACTATTACAAAATATTGAATAAAAAATGAATAATATTGGCTTTATATAAGAAATTAACTAGATAGACAGTCTTTGAATTCATAAACCAGAACTTTCAATAATTACTCATCTATAATATTTTAATACTTATATAAAGAACCTTTCTCAATCCCAATCCAAATGAAGTCGAGGAATTTATATCGATAAAATTTAGTGGCCGTTCATTCTGGGTTGGTCTAGTTATATACCATGATGTATTTCAAGGTAAATACAATTTATTCAATATTATTTTGAATCAAGAGCACTTTTAAAGTCTATATGGAGTGCTCATTTTTGTAGGCCACCAAGATGTCTAGAAAATGATAACTTCCTAATATTCACATTAGAGTTCAAGATGCACTGTTTTTTTATCTGTATATACTAAGAAACGGTGCATTCATTTTTTAATGGTATTCGGTTATAGTTAACAAAAGTAGTTCTTGAACAACCAAAAATAGCTTTTTTTATTTAGTTCGAAGTTCACATTACTTACGTATGTAGTTCTTATTGAAAGACATATTACATCTGGTTTAATGAACTGATGATATATATGTCTTATATATGAATATATAATTATATATATTTATATATCCCCAGTGGAAAACTCAGTTATGGAAACCAGTAAACGGATTATTCTACAATGTATGGAAGAGATATCGGAAATAACTGTATTATTGAAACCGTTAGAAAGTGACATAGCTCATAAACCAGCAATATAACTTAAATCAAACTTGAACATACTGAAAGGAAAAACAAAAGAAGATGAGCCAACTATCATCATAGAAAAAACTCTCCGAAATGCAAAAAAACATTACATTGAACAGAGTAGTTTCCTTACTCATCGTCGTCTTCATCAACATTAGTTAGCTGTCAAGCGCCACGATATATCTTCGTTTATATCAATGTACTTCGACAAGTGTTCATTAGCAAGACAAATAAGTCCCGAGTATTTTAAAAAGTTTGCTATTTAGGTTAGTCAGTAAACAATAAACATATCGGCGTGGATCTAATTTATCAACCAATAATACATAACTATGAGGCCAAGACTCAATTTGAAGGTGAAAACCAAAATAAATGTGCAAACAGTGGTAGAACAAGTATTGGCAAGAATCGGTTCAAATCATTGTCATTTGGAAACGTATGTCATAGCTCACTTCTATCTGAAACTAACTGAAACTTCCCAATTAAATTATCTACTTTAAAGAATTCAACTTTACCAAAACTCCACATTGTTCAATCAAACATTAAGGAAATATTCAACCTTGAGTTTTATTTACTTAAATTATAATCTCTCAGCTGTTTTGTTTTTGTTTTGTTTTTTCACAATGTATTTTACTAATAAATAAACATGAACTCTTACTTACTACTTATTTTGAAGTTGTTGTTGGTTTCTTTGAGATCAAATGATTGACATTCATCATTTCATGTCATTGATTACTGATTCAATGTAGAATAACATTTTAACTAGTCATTTCCAGTATATTTGAATAGATTCTATGCCTAACATTATACATTATTATATGTGCATTTTAATGCATAAAAAATTTACGCTTAAAGTTCAAGTCATTTGCATAATTATGTTTTGAATTACATGTGTTTAATAGTACATCCTTTGGCTTGATGTTTATTCATCATCACGAGAAATAAATGTGATATATGTATATATAAAGTCACTTATACTTCCGGAGGTCAATCAAACAAAATCAAATAACACAGTTAATGTATTCAGTCTTTATTTCTCTATTCTATTTAGTCCCTTTCTATGCATAATTTTGTAAACTACTGAAAATATTACTTTGTTTTCTTTCTTTACAAATTTACTAACTACTATGGTATAGGTATTAATAAAATAATCAATTTACAGTATTTATCTATGTTGATAATATGTTGAATTTGGTTATTTATTCTCTGAAGAAGTGACTTGCACTAAGTCACGAAACATCAGAATATGTAATTTTTCCTACTCATTGGGATATTACAGATATATTATTTTTATTAATAATATGTTTAAATATTTTGATGTACACAGACATTTTAGATTGTTCAAGAAATAAACCATCATATTAATTGAGAATTAAAATCATTTTGAGTATGTTATTAATTGATTTCAACATTCTATAGAAATCTTGGTTTATTAAATAGATCATGATTGTGTTAGTGAGAATAAGAACAAAAATTAAAATATATTTACTAACAAGAAATATAATACGAATTGTAAATTATTATTTAATCTAATATAAGTTCAATATAATTCATTTAATAATTGAATTCGTGAGTCAATTAAAGCTAGACCACCATGGAAAACCTGGAAGCACTGGTCGGCCGTTTCATCCTATTATGAGAATCCTCAGCAGTGCGCACCCACGATTTCGCCCCGCGGGATTCGAACCCATGTGCGAACGCTTAACCTTTAGACCAGTGAGCCGCCATCCAAAGATGTTAACGTTTAACTTCAACCAATCATTCATATCTTATGAAAACCATACTTGATCAAAGAATTCCTTTCTTTCTATACTCATAAGACCAAACGTTGGAACAATTTACAAATAATATTTTGGGACTACTCATAATTTAATAAAACTAGTAATGGGTAATTTTTTAATTCATATATATCGTGGATATGGACTTCTGAGGAGTCCCACGATAGGACGTAACGGGTGTCCAGTGCCCCCAGGTTTTCCATGATGGTCTAGCTTCAATTTACTCATGATCTCAACTATTGAAATTTATATATATTGGTTGTTTGAGTTTCCCCATTAATTTTTAGGACTGCGATTGATCAGTCTCTTTTTGGCATATGTGCACCTAGTGCAAATCGCCTCATTATTGCTAGTAAGTCACAAGCATTTTTAGGCGGAGATCGATGGTGGCTAGCAGTAGAATCTAGGACGCGTGTTTTGTCTTGATTGGGACTTATCAGCTGGATGTACGTGCTTACTTACTTACTTACTTACGCCTGTTACTCCCAATGGCGCAGGTGCATCCACTCTTTGTGTTCTCCCAAATTCTAATCTTCTGAATTCTTCATGTCCTTTTTTTCCTCTTTCCAAATTTATTTCACTGGATTATACTCTTTAAATAACATCTCCAAACCCTAATCTTCCCGATTACTGCTTATACTCTTGCTACCTCTACCACCACGGGATTTGAATCGACAACTGCATCTCTTTGCTAAGGTGGTGTGGCAACTCGAACTGATGTACGTACGTACGAAGTTCTACGTTGTTACTGACTGACTGACTGACTCCCAATGGGGCATAGGCCGGGATGTACTTGCATCTTAGAGTTTATGTTCACCAGTAATGGGTAAATTATTTTCTGGCTTAAAAAATTGAAATTACAGTTTTTTTCTTCAGAGTATGTAAACTGTGTGTACAGATATAGTATCTGGCCAGAAATTTAAAGTGTAAGGTTGCACGAACTATGCCTTAATTTTTTTATTAACGTAGAATCATTAGGGGGTACTATACTACTAGCTATCATTTGAAATTTAGCGATGAATCACTACCGTGTATAGACATAAACACTTTTAAATTAACCTTTTCTTATAACATTTTTTATTCAGCTAAATAATATAATTAACATTTTGTCATGTTAACGGGTGTTATTCGCCTTTCACTTCACTCTTGTTCATTGTCTTTGGTTTTTTCTTCTAGAATCCAAAGTTATCCATCACATTCTTTATCAAGGGTACGTGCACATGCAGTATTTCAGCATACATTCAATTTATGGTCAAGAGTGGTTAATTTAGATTTTGTGGAAGAAAAAGATTATTATAAACCAGCTGATATTGTGATACGATTTGGAGCTGGCAAACATGGAGATTCTATACCATTTGATGGAGCAGGTCAGTAATCCCATTAATATGTGTGTATTTTAATTATATATATTGACTGGAACTTGGTGAAATATACTTAAATGAGTAAAACTCCACAATCTTGTGATGTTGTTCAGTTTTAGACAACTTTATAGTTTATGGTACTTGCGATATCCGCTGTCTGTAGTTTAAGATTTTATATGAAAAGGCTCAGAACCGTTCACAATACCACATATGTTTCACTGTTTGCCTTCCTTTTGATCTTGTATTCCTATACTCCTTCGCACATATTTTTCCATCCTGTCATTTTGAATAGTATTCTCAGTGATTAATCTTTCTCATGATCATTTCTATTAAATGATTTGGATCACTTTTGTCATTCACCTTTTTATATTCATTTCTTCGTGTTAATGTAGTATAGAAACTTGGGCCGATTTTAACTCTATATTAATGATGATTGACTTACTGAAGGTATAAAAAATAACATATTTTCAAGAAAATGAATTTTCAACTTCACCATAATATAATTAGATTGTGAACATTTCCATTTGTTTAAATAGTAGTTACGTAACTTTTTTAAAAAGTTCCTTACACTGTGTATTTTTGGTTATTCAGTGATAATCAGTCAGTCAGCTACAATATAGGACTGATACTGATACTCACAATGATATTGTAGAAATAACAACATTGATCTATTAAAAATAGAATCTCATATTGAATGTATTTCTAATCTATAAATATGAATAGTATTTCCATCTGATGCTTCTTAATCATTATTAGTGTTACTAATCATTTTAAATATTTACTATGTTATATTATACATCATTTTCAATCAAATTTTTGTCCATTAAGTAGGTAAGCTCCACGTGGTATAGTGGAACTTTAATTAAAGATTTCATTCACAAGCCCTAATGTTTACTACCTTTGTGTTCTTCATCAGAAATATCCAGCTAGTTTCAGTCAGTCGTTATAGCTGATTGACTGGTTGAAATTTCTGATTAAGAAAACAAGGGTAGTAAACATTAGGGTTTGTGAATGAAATCTTTAATTAAAGTTATACTCTACCATATGTGGCTTACCTACTACATATCTAATTTACACTGAATATGTTTTTAGTAAACACCTAAGGATATCTTCAAACTCTAAGGACGGGAAGTTTGCTGAAACTTCCACTGGGCTATGCAGCACTCACTAAGCGAAATATTTACCCAAATAGTTGGATACAGTACACTAAAGGGACATTAAAAACGTTAAAAACTACCTTTGCCAATTATACTGAACAAATTAATTTGTGAATTGTAAAGATTTTTATATAATTGTTGTTTTCATTACGCAATAATCAAATGTTTGTCACATTTTTTTCTAATCTCTTTTTCATTACATAGGTGGAGTACTAGCACATGCTTACTATCCAACACCGGATAATGTATATTCATTTTCTGGTGATGCACATTTTGACGATGATGAAATCTGGAATGATGGACCACATAAAAGTAATATTTATTTCTTTTTTTTGCAAGTTAAATTCTTAAATATAGCTCTAGTTACGTCAATTAGTAATTTAGGGTTATTAAATAGTCGGTATTTGTTTATGAAGATTGTTGGACTTCAGTGAAATCACGAATCGATCGAGATTTCTATAACCAATGGAAACCTGAAAGCATTGAATGGGTACTTCGTTCTAGTGCAGAACTACTCAACAGTACACACTCACTAGCCAATCGCCAAGACTCAAACTTAGAACCTTTGTTTGCTTGTGCAAACGCTTGATGCCCAGACCACTGAGCAGAAGTCTATAAGTGTAAGTATAAATTCAATTAATCCACAGTATTCGGTAGTTAATGAGATGAAAATAGCTTTTATTTTGCACTGAAATTTTATGGAAACTATCGATAGAGGGATTTCAGCTAGTAAATAATATGCATAAAAATGAGAAAAATGACTCCTAGTCGCTTTCAAGCAAAATTACTGAGTTACAATTATATCCTGAGCGTTTTTCACACCTACTCACCAGATAACAAACATGGCATCCGCATAAAATCTCAAGATCACTTAAAATATAAAAGAAATAAGTATCTCTAGTCTATCAGAACTGAGAATTATTTGATTAACGATTGAGTACCAACCAATGTCATGTTTAGCAAATCTTCTAATTATCTTTGCAAAATCTTTTGAATTTGTAGTAATATTATCTAACACATGAGGATATGACTGTTACTGATTTTATTAGTAATGTTAAATACTTATATTTTAGCGTTGAAAAAGAGTATTGTAAAGGAATATGGCTTTACCTTACTAGCCATTGCAAAATTATTAAATGGGGATTTTTCAATGAAGTTTTTAATCATATATCCGATGTACAAGTAATATGTTACATTAAGTATTTTCAACCGTTTTCCCTTTCGTTCAGTGAATGAGTGTTTGATATTGGAACTAAAAAGAAGAATTATAAATGTATGACGTTGATCACTAAATTAATGATCAGTCAGTTGTAAAAATCTCGGTCTTACAAGAGATCAGTCTCACTCTGAATATCTAAGTGATAACTTCTCAGACCGTGAGGGTAGGTGATGTGGGATCAAATCCTACAGTGAGCACCTTTTCCCTCAAGTTTTTTGTATGTCTTGTTTACGAGTGTTAAATAATATGAAACCTAGGTATAATGTATCCTGTCGACTACCTCCAACTTTCTAACACATTTCAAGATTTTATAAATTTCATTTTGTGTTTTCATATTGTTTCTTTACAGCACATAGAAATTTGATTTCCGTCGCAGCTCATGAATTAGGGCACAGTTTAGGATTAGGTCATTCATCTGTACCAACTGCCATTATGTATCCTTACTACACAAGAACATGGGAAAAAGTTAAGTTGGATCCAGATGATATCGCTGGAATACAACAAATTTATGGTGAGCATACCATTCAAACAAATGATATCTTTTATTCGATTGAAATTAAAACATTTAGTTAGTAAACTAAAAACTACTGTATGATATAAAAAAAATTACTGGTAAGGTAGTTTTAATAATGTACTTAAATTTACATGTACGGTATAAATATATGTGGATAAATATATAACTCATTTTTAAGTACAAGCATATGTGCTTAATTTCCAACTAGTGTTACCAACCGGCTATCGAAATCAAAGAGGTTGAAAGGAGATTTGGACTTGTAACCTAATGACTAGGACTCAAGTGCTTCAAATGTCAAATTATTTCTTTGTTCATTGAGTTGATGGGTCATTAGCGAATGGATTTTAGTCTTAATTTGTACAAATCAGTCACTCAGTACATATTTTTGTACTAGACTTCCAATCAGACTCACTGTATAAAGACTTGCGTTGTGAACAGTTTATATTTTGACAGTTTAGTTTGCTAATACACATGATATAAAACTTTCCTTCTAATTTTTCGCTCGTACTGCTCTATAGATGAACTAATCTAATTGAACAGTTCATTTAGATTTTTAACTAATCAACATGAATCATTCAGTCAGTTTGTGTTACATGATGCGATTTATTCATCATCATATAATCGTTATAAAAAAACATGGTAGAAATTACTGAAGAGAGGTGACCATCATCCTTCCTTGAAAATGGCCTATGCTTATGGGTATGTCAAGAAGCTCAGAGGTGAAAGCCTTCGTACCAGTCATTTACATGTAATGCATAGGTGACAGTCAGCTGTAGCAAATATGTTCAAAGGTACCAGTGACTATCCACGCTCCCATGTGGGTGAATATACCTATATGTATGCTCTGGAATTTATGGGTGAAAACTTGTGCGTTGCCGGTGTACATGTAGGTCATACTTACCTGTTTTGCGGCGCCTGTGTGTCAAGACCTGAGGTTAACAATTTTCTCATAAAACAGCACCCATACGATGAGTTTATGAGACTTGCGAAACGGAAAACATTTTTTAGAAAGCCAACCGGCTTCACTGGATAAAGATTGACCAACCTTAACACATATGGAACACTGCACCATATATATATATATATATATATATATATATATATATCCATTAAGTTATTTGACACAACATTTGTCAGAATAGCTCAGATACGTTTACTTTTATCTTCTTCAAAATCTTAAATAATTTATGGCCCAGCAACATTTCCCTTGTTGACCCATTCTCTTCTTGTTTATTTCAAGTACTTCCAAATTTTTGTTGAACTTATATATATTGATAAAGAACTTGGCAACTTTAGGTAATGCACTATTCTGTCTGTCTATTCTTTTATTTTATGAATGTTATGAAATTCCACTATCTTGTCACAATATCTTTTTGCATGTAAACATCAATATATTTACTTATTTGTATATGACTTTTTTATAAATTACTAGGTAGTAACTTTTCACATTTAAATTGTTTTATCACTTTGCTATTATTTAAATTATATTTCCTAAAATAGTTTAGTCTAATGTATACATGTAAAAATATTTATTCCATCAACAATTTTATTTGAACTTATTCATGTCTAGACAATATGTCTAATCTAAATTATATCCACGTATACAATCTGAAATGTGTTTAATTACTTATAATTTTTCACCCCGTTTCTGTTTTATTTAAGGTGCTGCTAAACCGGGTAAATTTATACCACCTGAACCAAGTTTGCCTGATATACCCCCACCACGTAAGTTCATTTTCTTTCAGATAAAAATCTGAACTACTCATATATAATTAAGTAGTCATTAATCTTCGCAAATTCGGTACCTTATATATTCGAAACCAGATATAATCGTAAGTTTCCAGTATGGTTTCAAATAGTTATTTGTAAGTGTACATTAAATTGATGCTATCATTATAAAAATTGGCAATCGGAATTTTCAATAACATGTTCAGTAGTCAAACTTTAATATTCTTTGCATTTTTAACTATACATTAATATCATAATCTGATTCAAGTGAAAATATCATTATGAGGACGGCTCTAAGAAGCTCAGAAAGGGCCGAAGATATTCCATCCAATCATCTTTAGGAGTAATATTCTAGAGTCTGTACGTGTATCCTACCTATTGGACACATGCTTAAAACCCCTGGAGTTGGGTTGGATGACTATAATAATGATTTCGTTTATACTAAAACATTATAAATACTAGATAGTTTTGTACCATGTTTGACACTGTTTGGAATAGCATTCCTTTCACCTATCTTCTATCTTCTCATTTACGACTTGGAGAATTCCAGCGTTCGAATGCTTAGGTTGTACACTGTATATCTGATATGACAATCATTCTATAAAAGATCATTTTCCTAACAAAGTACAAGAACTAATTCTGTCTCATACAATCTTTAATGCATTGAAATATCCATCAAACTAGTGCACAAATTAAAACGATTATTAGGTTGCTTGATATTCGATAATTTTTTAAAATTATAATTGGGAAAGTGTTCAAATTACAGGTAACATTTAATTTTGAAGTAGTAACATTAAAATTCATGAAATAAACACACTTTCATTTTCATAGCTGACATTGTGTTGTTGATTTGATTATTCTAGATCTTTACGACAGAAATGATTCATATTTATGTTATGTTTTATTGAAGAAGTGTGATTTAACATAATTATTTGATTGAATTGTATCATTGCATTTATCATTTGATGATAAATATGAAAGAAGTAGAAATGAAAATCATTCATACAGTGTCATAAACACATTAAGGATAAGATTTTAATTCGATGTTCATGGTATATTTATTCAGCTATCTTAATGTAGATATAATAGTTTTACCTATTTATAAAGTTGTCATTTGGAATTTCTTTTATTATAAGATATGGAGGGAAAATTCTACTGGGATTATCGGTCACATTTTCCATGTTGAAGTAATAAGGTTTATCCTAATATTTTCACAAGAGACAATTGTTCCTAATTGTAGATATGGGAAGTGAATTCTTTAACAAGAATTACACTTCAGTATCTAGTACTTATTCACTGAATCAAAGGGAAAACGATTGAAAATACTTGATGTAACATATTACTTGAACATTGGGTTTGTGACTAATAACTTCATCGAAAAATCCCTATTTAAAAATTTTACAAAAGCTAGTAGGGTAGAAACTCTACCTGTAGCTATTCTAGAGTTACTGCCGGCCCCAAGCCCGGATAAAAGAGAGTTGAGAATGGAGGTCGGTAACCTCATTCCGTAGAAAAAACACTGTTAAAAAACATAGACCAGAATAAACAAATTAAATTATTTAAACTCTGACCAAAAAGTTGAAGGAAGAATTATAACGCCACATCGTGAAAGCCGAGATTCTTCGGAAATCATGAGGTCGATTCCCCTTCTAATAACCAGTGCAGCAAATAATATAGGTACATGGAATGTCCAAACAATGTGGGAGACCGGGAGGACCAACTAAATAGCTGCGGGAATGAGGGGATACAATTTGGCGGTTCTTGGGATCAGTGAAATCAAATAAACACAAGCTGGACAGAAAAGGGTAAATTCAGTAGAGATGCTACTGTACTGCGGTCACGAAGAAGCAAATGCTCCACACACTTAGGGGTCGCTCTGATGCTGTCCAAAGAAGCACTAACTGCCCTTATAGGATGGCAATCTCATGGATCCTGAATCATCGAAGCATCCTCCTAAACAAAGAAGAAGGGAATTACAATGAATGATATCCAAAGTTATACACCCACCAATGGTGGCAACGACAACAATAAAGATCAGTTCTATGAGAGGCTGAAATCGATCATAGCGAAGTGTCAAGGAAAGGACCTGACAGTATACCAGCAGAAGCGCTAAAGTCAGACACAGAAGCAACTGCAAAGATGCTCAATATTCTATCCGGGAAGATCTGAGAGGAATGAGACTGTCACTGACAGACTGGAAAGAAGGATACTTCATCAAGATACCAAAGAAAGGAGATCTGAGCAAATGTGAGAACTAAAGAGGCATCACACTACTACCGGTACAAGGAAAAGTTTTCAACTGTGTTGCTGAAACTGATAAAAGATTCAGTAAACGTTCAAATTCGGGATCATTAGATCAGATTCCGTAAGGACTGGTCGTGCACAGGCCAAATTTGCAACACTAAGGATCATCGTTGAACAATCAACTGAATTGAACTCATCACTGTACATTGACTGGATTATAAAAATCCTCTTATCTAACGGGAAGCATGGAAAACAATGGACAATCTGCATGCAACTAGACCCAGCCTTTCTATCTCATACACACGAACGAAAGCGGGTCAATAAAGCCACTCTAACAGGAGCCTCTTCATCAGTAGGCCTCTACATACACAAGGGAAAAAGCAAGATCCTCAAATGCAACACGGAGACTACCAACCGAATCACATTTGATGGAGCAACTCTAGAAAGTTTCACGTATCTGTGTAGCATCATCGATAAGCAAGGAGGATCTGATGCAGACGTAAAGGCCAGGACTGGCAAAGTAAGGGCTGCATTCCTACAACTGAAGAAAATATGGAGCTTCAAACAACCGTCAGTCAATATCAAAGTCACAACTTCAAGACAGTTCTACTATACGGATCTGAAACTTGGTAAACTACCACAACCATCATTAAAACAGTACTAGTATTTATAAACAATAGTCTACGTAAGATACTCACTGTTTGTTGGTCGGATACCATCAGAAACAGCCTACCGTGGGACAGAATAAACCAGATTCCTGATAAGGAAATCAGAAAAAGAAGCTGGAAGTTGATAAGATATACATTGAGGAAATCATCAAACTTAATCACAATGCAAGCTCTAACTTGGAATCCTAAAAGGAGATGGAAAAGAGCAAACCCAAAGAACACAATGTGTCGAAAATTGAAAGCAGACATGAAAAGGATAAATAGCGATTGGAAAAAGCTGGAAATGATTACCCAGGGCAAAATTGGGTGGAGAATGCTAGTGGGTGGCCTCTGCCCCTACACGAGAAGTAACAGGCAGATCACATAAAATATCATAATGAAAATCGGTAAAATTTTAATAAGAAGTCAAATCTCGCTAACAGTTACATAAGAATTAAGGGAAGAGTGTTGTAATTATGTGAGAGCGAAAGTTCGAAAACCTTTGTTGTTTTCGTCTTTGTGTTTGTTATTGACAACAAAGCTGTATTGGGGAAGCTTATATTTTGGTTGAATTACAAATTCTTTTATTTCATCTGTATTTTTATGTGATCTTATTGGGTTTTTTACACCAAATTTACTCCAAATCATACCCATTATTTCTTTCTAATGGATTATACATGAAGTGAATAAGCCTTATTTTTACACTGCTGCTTTTTTTCCAATGAATATGATCTTTTGGCTATACTCGAAAGTAACTTCACATTAAGAAACCAAATTTGATGATCACAATTATTTATTTCATGTGTATAAGACTGTGAAGAGATAAATCATTTTACTGTCACATCTAATTAGAAATGTTCGGAATACTAATATCCTAAGCTTGCTGTTGAAGTGATCTGTTCCAAAAATAATTAACTAATAGAAAGTTCAAGTCCAAATAAAAAATCAATGCTCACATTACTACATATCTATCATATATTGGGATTGGCTGTAGTTAGCTCTTTTCCCTTGCCTTTATTATTCCATTTCTATCACATTGATATTGTGTTTCTTAGGAATTTAAAAGTAATTGTTCATAATTTACCGACAGAAGATAAATAATTATTTATACTTTATAAAACTATTTTGAGATAATAACAAAGTTTGACTCATGGTTCAATATTATACGTTAGTGCTAAGAATAAATCAAAGAGAAGAACAGACCTTGTTCATCACTAATATAAACGTTGACGTCTACAAATGGCCTTACGCGAAACTTAAGATACCGATGATATGTTAATATAATCTTCGTTATATGTTTCAGTCTACTCTGTTCATATTAGTGTTAAACTTATTCACTGTAGTGTTATGAAACCCACAAAAATGACACTGATAAAGAAAAAGCTAATGGCCGTTTAGGAATTATAGTATTCATTGTACCAATTTTTAACCTATCACTAGTTAGATGAAACACTATGCAATATAAATAATAGCACACTTTTTTAAAATAGTAAATTATATTAAATCCATTTTACAGTAACTTTTTCGTTGTTCTGGGAACTTTTACTCAACTTATCTAGGAATTCTGATAGTTGAGATCATGAATCAATTGAAGCTAGACCATCAAGGAAAACCTGGAAGCACTGGACGACCGTTTCGTCCTATTATGGGACTCCTCTACGATCCCGCCTCGCGAGATTCCAATCCAGGACCTATCAATCTCGCGCCAGGAGCCTAACCAACTAGACCACTGAGCCGGCATCCATTGGTGTTAATGTCTAACTTCAACCAATCCACGAAGTTGAGCCACCGTACACCATTGTCTTCAGTGAGTTGATATCTCACAACAGACCGGGTAAACTCCACTGATTAGTGCTTCTTATTAGAACTCCAGGAAATACGTCTTGAAGTCAGTCACTAGTGAGCATATGTTGATTAATATTAGAAGGGGTTTTTGCAGACATATTAATTTCAATATTTGAGATCATGGGTCAATTGAAGCTAGACCACCAATATCCACAAAAACCCTTTCTGATATCTAGGAATGACGGTTAATCATCTTACATACACTATTATTTATCCTATGAAAAGATATTATGTATACATACGAACTAAAAATGATTTTCTTAATTTCTTTTTATAATTTACTTAGCACCTGTAACTACAGAAGCTCCAAAACGTGAGAATGTTTTCGATTTCTGTAATATCAGTGTTGATGCAATTATTAAAATTCGTAATTTAGAATTGTATGTTTTTAAAGGAGAAGTAAGTTTAGTTCAAGTTTCATTTTAAAAAAAGTCTTTTCAAAAACTACAATATTATTGATAATCTTTTTTTATCAGAATGGGTTTTGTGGAGATTTTTAGAAATTTCACAAGTTGGAATCATAAGCCAATTGCAGCTAGACCACCATGGAAAACCTGGAAGCACTGGACGGCCGTTTCGTCCTAGTACAGGATTCCTCAGCAGTGCGCATCCACGAACCCGCCCCCGCGGGATTCGAACCCAGGACCTACTGGCTTCGCGCGCGAGCACTTAACCTCCAAACCACTGAGCCGGCATCCAACGGTGTTAATGTCCATCTTCAACCAATCCACGAACTTGCGCCACCGTACACGATTGTCTTCAGTGAGTTGATATCTCACAACAGACCTGTTTGAACTCCACTGGTAACGACTTCTCACTAGAACTCCAGGAGTGTCTCCTGAAGTGAGCAGGTGATTATTATTATCAGAATGGGTTTTGTGGAGATTTTTAGAAATTTCACAAGTTGAAATCATGAGCGCACTGCTGAGGAGTCCCATACTAGGACGAAACGGCCGTCCAGTGCTTCCAGGTTTCCCATGGTGGTCTAGCTTCAATTGGCTCATGATTTCAACTTGTGAAATCTTTTTTTCTTAAGAAAAAGAGAATCCAATGAAGGAAAATCTTTTTTGGACGGAATCATTTACTGTACATTCGTATATAGAGTAATCTGGAAAATATGTATGTATAGGAGGATAGAAAAGACTACATCACAAAAATGGATTTGAGACTAAATAACAAATGATGTACGTACTAAACAAGGGGTAAGGAAGAAAATACTTTATGAGTCCAACTGACAGATATGATGAAAAACGACAAACAAAAAGGTCATGATAATAAACTGAATAATAATCATAAAAAATTGTATAAGGGTAGTAATAATAATAATTGACCAGAGTTTAAAATACAAAACAGTAATTTAAAAAATTCAATAATAATCAAATAAAAGTGTAAAAAGACATGCAAAAATAAGCCCCAGAAACATACCTATCAAGCCATATATTTCTTCGATGACTTTGATTATTACCCTGAAGAAGTCCAGACAAGTTAGCTGGACGAAACGTTGGAATTATTTAAATTTCAATCGCTGAGATTATTTCAGATATAATTTTCACATATAATGATACCTATCAAGGGAATTAGGGCCAACGAATGATGAGAGGTTGGACGGATTGTTTCTGTACGCAAAGTTCAGGCTTGAGTTCGTGAATTGCAAATGCCTCAGCAGTGCATAAAATATTGATTCGATACCCCTTCGATCCAGTTTGTTTGACTCTGTAGATCACTTTAAAAGAAGAATCTTTTGGAGCGATGTGTCCACAATAAATTAAATACTCATGTATAGAACTAGTAATTTTCTTCCTTACCCCCTGATAAGTACGTAACCTCATTTATTATTTAGTCTTGAATCCATTTTATGATGCAATCTTTTCTATCCTCCTATCGACATATATTTTCCATATAAATATATATATGAATGTACAGTTTAATTAAATGATTTCGTCGAAAAGAAAATTCTCTTCACTGGATTCTCCTTTTCTTATTCAATGACATTATGGGTCATTTTTTTTCTTAAGTTTATGCGTTACATAAGTCAGGATAAAAAAGAATATTAGGCGAGATTCTAATTTATGGACGACCTTTGAACTAATTTTAAGTGACTTTGAGAATATTAGACAATCAGCGAACAGTAAGTATAGAGTAAAAATATATCATACAAAACCGAGGAAATATAAAACAAACACAAAATGATCTGAATGTAGAATAATAAGTGATAGTTAATTCCAACAGAATTTCATTTACAAAAATCTGAACAACTATGAAAAATGTTTAGTGGTTCGTAATCTGACTCCAATTAGATTATATGTTGATCGCTATTGAATGATTGCTATCGAAATATAGATGTCACCTATCCTCGTATATTTCATCAACTTAAATCGCGTTGATGAATAATGGGATTAAATAAGTGAAATACGAGAATGGATTTCCGATTACATATATTTTGTACACTTATTGATCTGGGCAGGCAATCTGAGGAATGAGACGAAGGAAGCGACGAGAATTGAGTGGAGCGAAATGACGCGCGATGGAGAAGGCATGTAAGCCAACTCCAATATTTATAGTCACACAAAATTAAATTACAGATACGTGATGAGTATGATGAGAAATGAACACACATATGTTCATATAAAAACAGTCAGCATTGATAAGTGAATAATTAACAAGTTTAAAACGGGACTCACGAAGAATGAATACATTAGCCTGTTCGGAAGCTAGAATAAGCTAATATGGGCTTAACATAGCAACTGATACTACAAATGAATATGTAGTGGTTTAATTAGATAAGAACATTTTAAATCATCTGAACTATGTATAATGTTATTTTTTTAAAACACTACTTTAGTAAATAATTCAAGCAGTCACATAAAGATGTAAAAAATCAGATTATTTGCCTAAAGGTGACAATAGTCAATATAAATCATATCTAACTAACTATAAATGTTTCAAGAACAATGAATTATGCCTATAATTAATAAGACACTCTATTTTGAATATATTTAGCTCAGTTGAATACTTTAATTTGTGTTATATTCTGTGAAATGGATGTTTTGTTTGCAAAGCTTTCATTATCGTTCTTGGGAACATCATTATGTGAAGTGTCATGTTATATATACAAGTGAAATAATAACTTCCTCATTTTGAAGTTAGTGTAAAGCGATTTGTTTGGAATTAACAACTACTGACTAATACTCGAACCAGTCAACTCAATACACATGAAAACCATCATAAGTTTTATCAATTCAGGGTGACGCTACAAATTCACTGTTAATTCTAGAATCATTTTAAAAGTTAAATATGAAAGAAGAGACTTTAAACCTTATGGTTTCATTGAATGTACTAAGAGCTCACAAATTCATGGATAAGAATGACGATATAGATAACGCGTAAAAGTACGAAAGTTAACATTGTATTTAATGTTCAGTCCAGGTACATATAAGCCAAGCATACTCTCCTGGACAGTTTATTAAAATCAAAGACTACGATACAAAATTTTATCAACAAAACATGATGATGAATAAGCAGAAAACATTCTATACAAATTAATTCTAAGTAATGCTAAATATCATTTCATTTTTCTTAATCTTAAAGTGGCAATGGCGAGTAACATGGTCAAAAACTGTAACAACATGGATTACCTATCAATTTCGTGACGGTCCAGCAAAAATAACTTATTACTGGCCTGCATTACCTAAATACGTTGATTACATTAATGCTGGTATTGAACGCCATGATGCAGCTATTTATATTTTTCGAGGTAATTTTTAACTGTTTTCATTGAACAACTGGTTTTAGTCAAATTGAATGACTTAGTATTTTTTTATTTACTTTTCAACAAACCTAGAAATTTAAAATCGTTTGTGTTGGGGAGATTCAGAAAACTCCCCGAAAAAAGCCAAAAAGGCTCTGAAAACAATAAGAAGCATCTTATCATCATTCAGTAGAAGTGTTTTCAGAATCATCTAGAAAGTGAAAAGTCACATGTCGCGTTTCTGATCATGTGGTCAACTATACTGCTACTGTGTTTAGTAGCGCTCCAGGATTTCCCAGAAACTCAAGGCCATCTAAAACACTATAAAAGCCACAGATTTTCTGTACACAAACGGACCTTTGGAGTAAAGCGTTTCTTCCATATTTCGCGCCTTTTCTCTCGCGTTGCTGTGTAGATGTAGCCTGAGGGTTACTAGAAGAGCTTATGAACCGAATCTAGCGTTCAATTAGAAGACTTATCAGTTTGTAAAGTGATTTTATTATTGAACATTTGAAACTGATATCAATTAGCTCAATATTTATTGGTGATATCATTTACTTTTTAGATAATGTTGTCATCACAAATATTCGATTTAATCTGATAATATTTTTGTGTACTAGATACATTTATTTCATATAGTGAAAAGTACTTTTTATTTGATGAATCTGTGAAAAAGAGAAGAAACTCCAAACATTGTGAACTAACTTTAATCAATTTATCATGTGAACAAAAATAATATTACTGTTTAAACTTTATCATACCAGCTACCATTTCTAATCTTCTCCTTGAGTTCTGAATCAAAAAGCATGGAGAATGAAAAGTAACTGATTATATTATCTTAGCCTAAACTAGAAGATTCATATGTTGTGATATGATTCACAGTTTAGATTGATAGAAGAAATAAGATCCAAATATACGATGAAGCACTCAACTAACTGATCATCAAAAATTTGTTTATAATTCCTAAAAACTAGATTTCATTAAATCACCTTTTTAGTATCCGTAACTCTACTTGGTAGATATAACCGACCATAAAATCCCCACTGTCATTTATCTTTTTTAAAGTACTCGATAATCAAATGTTTCGTACATAAGTAGTTGAATTAACCCAGATAGAGGTTGTTATAACTCGTGACTGCAGATTAGACGGCAGCGTATTATCGATCGGACCAAAGACGCGTAAACACGTAAGAACGGTCTAAAGTTCCGATTGGTCCCGCTTCCCTGTCTAGCCCAGCCAGTTGAGTCCAGAAACACAAGTCTCAGCCTTTGAGATATGAATCATTATATTTCAAGCATACTGAGTTTATATACCAACCAAACCGACCACAAAATACCAATAAAATATGAAACAACATTTGTACAAGAATTATCCAGCTTTGGCTGTGAATGAGGGAGGTAGCGATCGACAGACAGGGAATAATTCATGAATGGTAAATCGTATAATAATAATTCATAGGTCAAAATAAAGCTCACAATAAGAGGGACATGAATATGAACAGTTTAGTTACATAACAATTATACGATAAAAATATACTCATAATATTGGTTCATAAATGGACCCCAAAAATTACCATTCATTATTCTTATCAGGATACAACAGAGGTTGATTTGAAAGATTCAGTCACTGGATTATTTACATGGAATTTCATTTGCTCAAATCGTTTCACAATGAACTTTATTTGTTATCTTTCGAATAACAAAAGTATGCTTAAGAAAACATAGGTGCTAAACCAGTTATTTGAAAGTAATATAGATTAGTAAAATTCCAAAGATATTTTAAATATTGTTAGTACCAAAGATTTGTCCCAGTTATTTGATTGAATACATAGGTTATGTAGAGCTTTTGTTAGTTCAATGCTTTAATAGTCAGAAAACACTTTTGTTCATTAAAACATTGTAAAGATGAGTAAATTCTAATTAAACATCTCAACTATTGCTACAATTAACTTTACTCATAATATTGTAACTAAAACTTAGAACAAGAATACTAGTTGAAACTTGGAGCTCATCAAAACAAATAAACAAACAGTGTTGAATTGTGTACAGAAAATCTAGACTTATTTAATTATAACGTTCATAAAACTAACTTGATTTTATTTGCTTTTTTTAATCCAACATTGATTGCAGATAAAAAATTCTGGCTACTTCTGGATAATATGAGAATGAAACCTGGATTTCCAAGTGATGGATTACCTCTAACTAATCTTGGACTTCCATCGTACCTGGAACGTGTAGACAGTGTATTTTTATGGGGAGAAAATCAAGCAATTTATATCTTCGCTGGAAAATATTACTGGCGCTTGGATGAAAATTCTGGTCCATTTGGCAAAGTAATTAATGGTCCGGACTATCCTCGTCTGATAGAAGATACATGGCAGGGAGTTCCTGTTCCTACACAAGCTGCATTTACCGGTCTCAATGGTAATTTATTTGTCCACATATTTATTCCTTATTGTGATTAGATATCTCTTAGCGATAATAATTATTTTCTTCTAAAAGATAATAAAAAATTTTAATGAGCAGAAAATGACCAGTAGCAGTCAACCGCAGGTAACTGTATACTTTTTCTTTCATTCCGTCCTGCTGGTCTTATCGTAAACATATTTATACTCCAATGTACCATTTTATTGTTTTAGATATAGTGTACACTACTGATTTTGTAGACTCTGCATTAATTTGTATTTGACTTCTGCTTCTTCGAACGATCGTTTATCTGTCCTGTAGTACAACAGTAGATGAAATAAATGCTATTCAGTGAAAGTGGTTGATGAACTTAATTAAATAGAGTTAATAGTCGTCAGCCACCATTTACTGTAGATCGCCAGGTGGCGGTTCGCTCATCAAATTTATTTCGTTTTCATGAGCTACTGAAATCCTAACCAGTAGTACGGTTTTTATTTCCAAGCCACTTTTCGCTTGAGCGTTTTGTTTGATACTTAACAAATTATAGTAATTCAGTACATGATTGTCTAAAACCTCTGTTCAAGGTTATAACTCAATGCCTAAAAATGGGCCGTTCCAAGTCTAATTTTTGAAGAAACAAACAAGAGGTCAGTTGTTATGTGCACGCAAATCGAGTCACTTAAACTAGTGCTTACATTGTAACTTGATGGGTAGAATTTTTCCAACATTAAATGACTAGACAAACATGGAATCACTTACTACCCAGCGATCAATCACTCGAATTTTAATATTAATTTCTTTGTAAGTGATGAGTAAGTTCAAAATTAGACATTTCACAATCTAGTAAACTTACGATTTATTATAAAACTAAATAATCGTTGAGATGGATACACTTTATTAAATGACCAAACCTAATTTTAATTTTATTCAATCCACCAATTGTTTTATTCAGATATTATACAAATGAATAGCATAGAGGGATTTGCATCTCAACCTACCTGATATTGTTTCATACTTAAAATCCAATTACATATTTATGTGTAAATAGATTTTATTATTTTAAAGTTATACTCATTTTGTTCTAAACTAATATCTTATCACTGTGAGATCTGTATGCTTACTGTAAACTAACTCTCAGAGGTGATCTGTAATTATTTAATTCATATCTATCAAATATTGATTGAGTTTGATGAAATCTATGGTTTATTAGTCAATGGATTATTTATCAAATATTAATCTTAATATGATTAAATAATTAGTTAGTATACTATCATAAAGTGAACGGTATTAACCGAATATCTATTCTAGTATGACAGAGCGGTTAATATTCAGATCTACTCATCAGTTAGTGGATACCATTATTGTCTCCCTTTATTTAATTGTTTTACAAAGTCATTAGTAGCAATAATACTGAATTAAAGTTACAAAACTAAACCAAAAATGTCTATGTTATTATTCTGTAAACATAACAAAGTCTCTTGGAGATTAAATGTGACTAAAGGATAATTTATCCTGTAAATAATAAATTAATTAATTGTTATATGATTAAATAATAACAAACCGGTAGTTCACTTCAGTTGAACATCATAGTAGAGATTAAATTTTTTCTAATATTATTCAGCCAAACATCTTGTTGAATTATCTTTAAACTTCTTTGATGACACAATGAGTTTCTTTCGTTATGTGAAGACTTGAAAGAAAACAACACATTAAAGTTCAGTCAGCTATTAGTTAAGAAATCATGAACGAATTAAATATAGAAATTGAAGGTTACATTTTTTCCTATGATTCTTTGCTTCTAACCGTTGTAGCAGACTGAGTATTCATATTCCTTTACATTGAATAAAAGATTTCTTTAGCATTCTATGCTATATGCTTATTTATCAGTTATTACATAGACACATCTGATTTTTTTTCCGATTCTGCATGTGATATCTAATAATACAACTTAGCATTGAATCGACAAACTAGACTCAATAAATCACTAGGTAAATAACTCAGATACTGAATGTCTGACCAATAATGAAGTACAATACGTGGTCCAGATAGTAATTTATTAACACATGTAGAAGCACTAGCTTAACTTTAATTTAGTTGGAAACTATATTTCACGTAAGCTAACATGAATTTAACCTTTTTTGTAGCTTAATTCGTAATTACACAACTATTGATATGAATTCCCCAGGTAACTTATGGTTATCAAATTAAATTCAGTTTATTTGAAGTAAAATAATTTATCAGAAGGGGTTTGTGGAGATTTTAGAAATTTCACAGATTGAAATCATGAGTCAATTGAAGTCAGACCACCATGGACAACCTGGAAGCACCCCTTCTGATAATAATCATCTACTCACTAGTGACTGACTTCAAGAGATACTCCTGGCGTTCTAGCGAGAAGCCGTTACCAGTGGAGTTCAACCAGGTCTGTTGTGAGACAGTAACTCACTGAAGACAATGGTATACGGTGGCTCAACTTCGTGGATTAGTTGAAGTTAGACATTAACACCATTGATCCCGGCTCAGTGGTCTAGTTGGGTAAGCGCCTGGTGCGAGACCGATAGGTCCTGGGTTCGAATCTCGCGGAGTGCTGGATCGTGGGTGCGCACTGCTAAGGAGTCCCATAGAAGGACGGAACGGCCGTCCAGTGCTCCCAGGTTTTCCATGGTGGTCTAGCTTCAATTGACTCATGATTTCAATCTGTAAAATAATTTAATTGACTTTATTTTTTCAAAGTAACATTCTATTTTTTTCTGCACTTCATAAAATTGAATAAATATCTCTTTTCTTTGTTTTTTTTAAAAAAAATAGATGAAACTTTATTTTTTGAAGGTACAAACTACTATGTATTCGATAATATAGCAATGCGTACACGTCCTGGATATCCAAAACAAGCCTCACTAGGTATACTTGGTTGTATGAAATGATTAGGAAACAACTGAATTGAAACAGAAGAAGAAGAAGAAGAAGAAGAAGAAGAAGAAGAAGAAGAAGAAGACATTACATCATTACAAACCACTAGCAATATTAAAACTAAAGTTCATTTTGAATTTCAATCAATTGTTTTTACTCATTAATTTTATATGTTTATATGTCAATTTTGAACAGAAACTGTGTAATAAATCCTAGTTTATTCAAATTAACTTAAAACTTTATATTACTTTTTTTAGAAATATAAGAATTTATGTATACCCTACATGAGAAAATGAAAAAAGGTTATCGCTTTTACATCAATAATTACCAAAACTATGAAGAGAAACATCTGAATCATAAGTAAAAAGGAAAACTAGCAAGAATTTCATATACATATACATATATATATGCTTTGTAATTTATTGTATTCATAATTAACTTGACATGCCTCTTTTGTGAATTGGATTACCTTTCAAGGTGAGACTATAATTTATGGACGACCTTTGACTGACGCTAGACTGACCTTGAGAGTGTCCAACTGATAACTAGAACCAAATGAGGGTTATAAATTAGTGTGAGGAATTCGAATTATGATTTACAGTTGATGGTTAACGTTAGGAATTAGATTTAAGGTTTTCATCACGAACTGACATTAGCTATAATGCCAAAACTCTATCTAGAGAAATAGATGAATGAATTTTGCGCCAAAATCCAAAACCTGTTATATTACACCTGATTGATTGGTCCATAAATTATGGTTTCACCCCTCTCAATTTTATTTATTATTCTTCATATAATAAAAGATTTCCTTGATGAGGTAGATTTTAAATAGTTTGACTAGAAAATTTCAATCAACTTCTCTTTAACACATCTACTTATCTTTACATATGAACCTGTGAAATGTCTTTTTCTGTTCATTTTTTTTTAAATTTTCAATGTTTTCTTTAATTCCTTAGTCATTTTTTTCTTGTTTTGAGGACTTTTATTCGTAAACATTCTGGAAAATTAAAGCAGTTATAATACTAATTACCTTGAAAGTAACCATACTATTTGTAGTTATTACTGTTGTGAAAAATATCATAACTATCAAACTATTACAATTGTGAATATAACGAGCAATTCTAATTGTTATGAATTTAATCTTGTAATGGTTTGAATTATTCTATGATTGATATTGTTGACTAAATCTTGATCAGTATCCGTTGTCATATGTGTATTCTTTACAGATTACTTTTACATAGCCATTTTTCACAAGTTTACATAAAACAGATGGAATGTGACTAAAAGTGGAATTCAGAACGTATATTTCGTCCATATTTTGGACGGGAATCGACTATTGGAAGAAGGTACACTTGGTTGAGAATAAGACAAAACGCGCGTCCACATTCCACCTATTCTATATAAAATCTATTGTTAGCGTTACTGTCATCGTTATTATTATTATTATTTATATCGCGAACGAACAAGAAGGTTTTAGGTTCAAGACTTACATAAAAAGTTATATACAGATGTATATGCACACGAACTCATACATATGCACAACAGACAGTGGTCATTTAGTACATCAAGTATGAGGGAATGCAGTAAATTCATTGTATAAAACTTGTAAATTAATATTTAACAATTATAAAGTTTTCTAATACGTATTCGAAAATATAAGTACGCTTCAGAAAGTCATTTCTTTTGTGGATGTCGTTAACGGCAAAATTGAAGTGTGCAGAAAAATCACCAAATTATTATATTTTATTAGTTGGAGTACTTTATCAAACTGTTTTTAACTGATTAACTCCCATAGCTCAACTGATAGATTTTTAGGCATACAACCTAGAGGTTTTTCAAGGGAACCAACTCTAAACTAAGCTTTTACTTGGTCTTGCTTATCACCAGCGTCATCATCGTATAAGTAAACAGTGAATGATAAGTATTTTGCCTTAGCCTGTGGCTAAGATTTCCCTGACTTTATATTAAGGAATTGTACACGACAACTAGTAGCCTGAGAATTTCAGTTAATCTTGTGTTATTTCCAGCTCGTTAATCACATAATGGTGTCATGCTGGTTACATATATAGGTTGAAATCCAAATGATTTCACAATAATATCAATACTTTTCTGTTTTCACTGGTTATCCAGAAAAAATCATTGTGTGTTGTAAACCGATTTAAAATTACACAATAATATATTATATGTTTTGAACAGTTTCAGAAACTGTTCATCTGGATGGTATCGAAAGATTTAGATATTCCAATTTCGATCACTCAATGTAATTACCAAATAAATCATATTATCTTAACGTGAATATTTTACATTGTATAGCTTATATCACTTCTGATATTAGTTTGACAATCACTGAAAACCATGAATTATTGGTCAGCTGTTTCCCCCTATTATGGGACTTCTCAGCTGTGCACATCTATGAATCCATTGAAAATCAACCCTCGTGGAGTGCTTAATCATTTAGACCACTGGGCCAACGTCGAATGGTTCACATTTTGAACTTCAGTTCGAACAGTTGTCATGAAAAAAGCAACTGCTTTTATGTCGGTATTTAAGTGACGAAACGTTTATGATGTTTATCAAACTGTTCGAAATAACTCTGGAAAATACATAAGATTAGTGTCTTAACTTCTGAAACCTATCACTGAGGTATAAGTCCAATCTTGAGAAGTCTTGTTTTTTGACAGTCACACCGGTGTCATTTTAAATGGTGATATTGTTTGCAAACAGAAATGGGTCATATATATATATATATTTACCAGTCACTTGATTGCTATCCGTTTCTTACCTCTTGGTCGATGATCAATATTGAGTGGTCGCTAGTTAGAAGTTAGCAGTCCAGTCATTCGACACCTTAATAATGTACATTCTTCTCGCTGCATATTGTCAGCAACCACGATATCTCTGATTCGGCTTTTTGTAACTTGTACAACGAAATGTTGTACACTTTTCATAAACGCACCTGAATATATTATGCGAATAATAGCCATGATGATGTATTAAAACTAACAAAACTGCATGACTTGTTGAAATATCTAGATGACAGGAACAGGTAGCCCAGATGTTCAAGTAGGTCGCTCTGAGGCTTTCTAATAACAGTCTTAAACCAATAAATATTGACGCTCATATCACTAATGTAAACGATTGAATTGCGAAAGTAATGAACAAAGTTTGATTAGCATCAAAACCTGAGAAACGTAAAAACTGTACAGTCTCATGGCCATTTAATGTATCTTAAATTCAACTTTAAAAATACATTCTTAAAATCATACAAAAATCAAGATAAATGATGTATATCTAGATCGATTTATTAAGGCCCATCATTTCTTATACATTAAACGACTAACGATAACATATGAATTTATTCCCCTGAGGGATCTCAGTAGGAAAATATGTCTATAATACAGTGTTGTATGATAATTATAAATAAATGTTCAATTCAGTCGCACTTGTTACTTGTTTCAAAACGCTAACATAAGCTACCTTGATTATTTAAACTCCTTAAGACATTCTCACTTCCGATTCATCCAATTCAAATTGTTTGCAATAAAATGACGATCCAACCATTTCATTAGAGCAAACAGTCTTCATCACCATCAGTTTTTCTCTCCGTATCTGCAATTTTTGCCATTTTTATATGTTGTGCTATACTACTTTTTGTCACACAGTAGCCTCAATGTATCCGACTAATTTTATGCCCTGAGAACAGAAACGTATGAAGTTTTTTCGTACCAACGAATTACTTATTCATTAATTCGACATTTCAGCTCGATTTTTGTGCTTGAGATAGTAGTTCTTCCCTTAACTTATTATATGGTCTTTTTGTCATATATTTGGTGAATCTGTGTGCTATTTTTGAATCACCTACCTAGTTCCAAAACATTGTGCTTGACATATTTTAATTAGTCGTTAATATCTTCGGTTGACAGAGTTTTGTTCTGTCTTCCAATCTATATTACATGTTGTGATTATTTCCAAGGGTATACTTTCATTTCTTTTTTATGCTTCTGATGACATAATTAACACTTTGACACCTAATAATAAGAGGTTTTTCAATTCTTAGTCTATTTGTTGTAAGCCATAATGGTACTGCATTTCAACATGAATCTCTTCATTTTAGTTCAAAATTGATAAAATGTTTTCGAAATACATTGAAAAACAAAATACGTCTTAAATACTTATTGACTTCCAGGACAATCTTCCGTAGGATTCACATCAAAAATACCAAAGTAACTTTATCTCACAAAATGAAGAAAAGCGGATGATGACCACCTTTCAGATTGAGTTGTTCAAAGACATGCTTGTATGTTTGATATGCATCTCTATGCCTTTTTTAATTGGTTGGTAATAGATAGCTGAATGCCTTAAAGTATTACCACGATCAGTCACCTTTTACAATTTTTTGTTTTGCTTAAAATTTGAAAATATTCTTATCTTATGACTTGAAAATTTTGAAATCTACGCAATTGAATTGTTAAATATTTAATAAGAATTACAGAAGCTAATTATGCTTATTTGAAATCATTCAATTTGTACTTATAACTGCATACACTTTTTTCATGGGAAATTATTACTTACTTACTTACGCCTGTTACTCCTCGTGGAGGAGCCTAAGCCGCCCACCAGCACTCTCCATCCAACTCTGTCCTCGGCAATTGTTTCCAGCTCTTTCCAGTTGTCATTCATCCTTTTCATATCTGCTTCTATTTCCCGACGTAATGTGTTCTTTGGCTTTCCTATTTTCCGTTTCCCTTCAGGGTTTCAAGTTCGCACTTGCCTCGTGATTAATTTTGATGAGTTCCTCAATGTATTTCCAAAGTATGTCCATCGTCTTTTCCTAATTTCCTCTGCAGTTGTAAGCCGGTTTATTCTCTCTCAGAGTAGTCCGTTGCTGATGGTATCGGGCCAATGGATGATGAGTATCTTGCATAGACAACTATTTATAAATACTTGTATTTTCTTCATGATGGTTGTAGTAGTTCTCCAAGTTTCAGATCCGTACAGTAGAACTGTCTTGATGTTGGTATTGAAGATTCTGAATTTGATATTGATTGACAATTCTTTTGAGTTCCATATGTTTTTCAATTGTAGGGATGCAGCCCTTACTTTGCCAATCCTCGCCTGCATTGATCCTCTTTGCTTATCGATGATGCTTCCGAAATAATTCCTAATAAAAAGAAACTGAATTACTGAGATCATTTCTAATAACATGTAAAGCTTATAAAATATTGCGGTTAATATAGACAATTTTCTGATATACAAGTGATTACGGATATTCATTTGTAAAAGAAGATAGTTCAGTGATAAGAAATTTCATTTTGAAAATACTAATCATTAA